ATATGGGTATGTCTACTTAATGAAACACAAGTCTGGGACCTTTGAAAAGTTCAAGGAATTTCAAAGTGAGGTTGAGAATCGACGTGACAGGAAAATCAAGTTCTTACGATCAGATCGTGGGGGAGAATATTTGAGTCACAAATTTGGCACGCACTTAAGAAAATGTGGAATAGTTTCACAACTCACGCCGCCTGGAACACCACAGCGTAATGGTGTGTCCGAACATCGTAATTGCACCCTATTGGATATGGTACGATCTATGATGTCTTTTACCGATCTACCGCTATCATTTTGGGGTTATGCTATAGAGACTGCCGCGTTCACTTTAAATAGGGCTCCGTCGAAATCCGTTGAGACGACACCGTATGAATTGTGGTTTGGTAAGAAACCTAAGCTGTCGTTTCTAAAAGTTTGGGGATGCGATGCTTATGTCAAGAAACTTCAACCTGAAAAGCTCGAACCCAAATCGGAAAAATGCGTCTTCATAGGATACCCTAAAGAAACTATTGGGTATATCTTCTATCTTAGATCCGAAGGCAAGACCTTTGTTGCCAAGAATGGATCATTTCCAGAGAAAGAGTTTCTCTCGAAAGAAGTAAGTGGGAGGAAAGTAGAACTTGATGAAGTATTGCCTCTTGAACCGGAGAGTGGCGCAGCTCAAGAAATTGTTCCTGAGGTGCCTGCACCGACTAGGGAGGAAGTTAATGATGATGATCATGAAACTTCAGATCAAGTTGCTACTGAACTTCGAAGATCCATAAGGACACGTTCCGCACCAGAGTGGTACGGCAACCCTGTCCTGGATATCATGTTGTTAGACAATGGTGAACCTTCAAACTATGAAGAAGCGACGGCGGGCCCAGATTCCGACAAATGGCTGGAAGCCATAAAATCCGAGATAGGATCCATGTATGAAAACGAAGTATGGACTTTGGCTGACTTGCCCGTTGATCAGCGAGCCATAGAAAATAAATGGATCTTTAAGAAGAAGACAGACACGGATGGTAATGTGACCATCTATAAGGCCCGACTTGTCGCTAAGGGTTATCGACAAGTTCAAGGGGTTGACTACGATGAGACTTTCTCACCCGTAGCGAAGTTGAAGTCCGTCCGAATCATGTTAGCAGTTGCCGCATTCTATGATTATGAGATATGGCAAATGGACGTCAAAACGGCATTCCTTAATGGTTTCCTTAAGGAAGAATTGTATATGATGCAGCCGAAAGGTTTTGTCGATCCAAAGAATGCTGACAAGGTGTGCAAGCTCCAACGCTCAATCTATGGGCTGGTGCAAGCATCTCGGAGTTGGAACATTCGATTTGATGAGATGATCAAAGCGTTTGGGTTTACGCAGACTTATGGAGAAGCATGTGTTTACAAGAAAGTGAGTGGGAGCTCTGTAGCATTTCTCATATTATATGTGGATGACATACTATTGATGGGAAATGATATAGAATTCTTGGAAAGCATAAAGGCCTACTTGAACAAGTGTTTTTCAATGAAGGACCTTGGAGAAGCTGCTTATATATTAGGCATCAAGATCTATAGAGATATATCGAGACGCCTCATTGGTCTTTCACAAAGTACGTACCTTGACAAGATATTGAAGAAGTTCAATATGGATCAGTCCAAGAAGGGGTTCTTGCCTCTATTGCAAGGTATGAGATTGAGCACGGCTCAATGCCCGACCACGGCAGAAGATAGAGAAAAGATGAGTGTTGTCCCCTATGCCTCGGCCATAGGGTCTATCATGTATGCCATGCTGTGTAGCAGACCTGATGTAAACCTTGCCTTAAGTTTGGTAGGAAGGTACCAAAGTAATCCCGGCATGGAACACTAGACAACGGTCAAGAATATCTTGAAGTACCTGAAAAGGACTAAGGATATGTTTCTCGTCTATGGAGGTGACGAAGAGCTCGTCGTAAAGGGTTACGTCGATGCTAGCTTCGACACAGATCTGGATGACTCTAAGTCACAAACCGGATACATGTATATTTTGAATGGTGGGGCAGTCAGCTGGTGCAGTTGCAAGCAAAGCGTCGTGGCAGGATCTACAGGTGAAGCGGAGTACATGGCAGCCTCGGAGGCAGCACAAGAAGCAATCTAGGTGAAGGAGTTCATTACCGACCTAGGAGTTATTCCCAATGCGTCGGGCCTGATGACTCTCTTCTGTGACAACACTGGAGCTATTGCCCTTGCCAAGGATCCCAGGTTTCAACTCCATTCGTGAAAATGTTCAAAATGGAGACATAGATATTTGTAAAGTGCATGCGGACCTGAATGTCGCGGATCCGTTGACTAAACCTCTTCCTCGAGCAAAACATGATCAACACCAGAACTCTATGGGTGTTCGATTCATCACAATGTAACTAGATTATTGACTCTAGTGCAAGTGGGAGACTGTTGGAAATATGCCCTAGAGGCAATAATAAAATGATTATTGTTATATTTCCTTGTTCATGATAATTGTCTATTGTTCATGCTATAATTGTATTATCCAGAAATCGTAATACATGTGTGAATACATAGACCACAACATGTCCTTAGTGAGCCTCTAGCTGACTAGCTCGTTGATCAACAGATAGTCATGGTTTCCTGACTATGGACATTAGATGTCATTGATAACGGGATCACATCATTAGGAGAATGATGTGATGGACAAGACCCAATCTTAAGCATAGCACAAGATCGTGTAGTTCGTCTGCTAGAGCTTTTCTAAGTGCCAAGTATCATTTCCTTAGACCATGAGATTGTGCAACTCCCGGATACCGTAGGAGTGCTTTGGGTGTACCAAACGTCACAACGTAACTGGGTGGCTATAAAGGTGCACTACAGGTATCTCCGAAAGTGTCTGTTGGGTTGGCATGAATCGAGACTGGGATTTGTCACTCCGTATGACGGAGAGGTATCTCTAGGCCCACTCGGTAATGCATCATCATAATGAGCTCAGTGTGACTAAGTAGTTGGTCACGGGATCATGCATTACGGAACGAGTAAAGTGACTTGCCGGTAACGAGATTGAACGAGGTATTGGGATATCAACGATCGAATCTCGGGCAAGTAACGTACCGATTGACAAAGGGAATTGTATACGGGATTGCTTGAATCCTCGACATCATGGTTCATCCGATGAGATCATCATGGAACATGTGGGAGCCAACATGGGTATCCAGATCCCGCTGTTGGTTATTGGCCGGAGAGTTGTCTCGGTCATGTCTGCATGGTTCCCGAACCCGTAGGGTCTACACACTTAAGGTTCGATGACGCTAGGGTTATTAGGAAGACTTGTATGTGATTACCGAATGTTGTTCGGAGTCCCGGATGAGATCTCAGACGTCACGAAGAGTTCCGGAATGGTCCGGAGGTGAAGATTTATATGTAGGAAGTTGTCATACGGTCACCGGAAATGTTCGGGAGCGTATCGGTATTGTACCGGGGCCACCGAAGGAGTTCCGGGGGTCCACCGGGAGGGGCCACCTCTCTCGGAGGGCCTAATGGGCTGTTGAGGAAAGGGAACCAGCCCTACATGGGCTGGGCGCACCCCCCTTGGGCCCATGCGCCTAGGGTTGGGGGGGAAACCACGCCCCCCTTGCTTGGGGGGCAAGCCCCCTCCCCTTGGCCGCCGCCCCCTCTAGATCCAAGGCGCAAGGGGAGGGCTGCATACAACATCCAAGGCGCAGCCCCTCCCCTCCCCAACACCTCTCCTCCTCCGTAAGAGCTTGGCGAAGCCCTGCCGGAGTACTGCTGCTTCACCACCATCACGCCGTCGTGCTGCTGTTGAAGCCCTCTTCCTCAACCTCTCCCTCCTCCTTGCTGGATCAAGGTGCGGGAGACGTCCTCGCTCCGTACGTGTGTTGAACGCGGAGGTGCCGTCCGTTCGGCGCTAGGATCTTCGGTGATTTGGATCACGACGAGTACGACTTCATCATCCCCGTTCTCTTGAACGCTTCCGCTTGCGATCTACAAGGGTATGTAGATGCACTCCTCTCCCTCTCGTTGCTAGATGATTCCATAGATTGATCTTGGTGATGCGTAGAAAATTTTAAATTTCTGCTACGATCCCCAACAACACCTTCCCTAAGCACCTATACCTTAGAGGGGATGACTTGTGCCCTAAGGCCTCACACGTTTCCCTCTTCACCATTCTCTCGCGCCCACCAGGGGCTATTCTCGCCGCGACGAGCGGTTTGTTGTGTAATATTTGATGCATTTTTTTGCATTTTCCAAAAGAAAAACTCAATATGGCATATTTTACAAGCTATTACTCAGTTTAGGGTTATTCCAACATTTCACACCATAATCCAATTGATTCCTTTCGAAATGAGCATTATTATTCTGTTCATTTTACATTTTTTACATCATCATATGTAGGTCAGTTATTCTTACCATTGGCTCATTATCTTGTGATTATGACTACTACCTACCAGTTTTTTGTGGTGAACGTCTACGAGTACTCATGCTTATAGTCTGCAGAAACTATCCGAATTAACGCGTGTGTTATTCCGTATTGCCTGAATACATATCGCTACTAAGAGCATCTAGGAATTTCCTATTTGGTGCTCGCATCACTACTAAGGGCACCCATTGGATTGCAATAGGAGGCATATTTTGACAGCTATAGTACCGGCAAAAAGTCAACTGCAGAGGAACTGAAACCCTTAAAATCAAGTACTGGAACTAAAAAATAATATCAAAAGTCAGAACAAGATGATGAAGCTGCAAAGGCTATACAAGTGAGAACTGTGTGTGTTACAGACAGAGACAGAGAGGGATTGTACCTGAAAAAAATGCAAAAAGGAATTGAATATATACTATAATTTATGGAACTTGCTTATTCTCCAACCAGCCAAAAAAAAGCCTCCAAAGTCAAATATTACATTATGGTGCACTTATTTACACAATAGCACCACTGAAATCTGATACATCTAGCCCCCTTTCTTGCAGTAACACTCTCCAGCATGTTCAAATATACATCATTTTCTGCAGAAGTCAATGCACAATTATCCTTCAACGATCTTCACAGGACTCCTGTGGAACAGATTGTTTTTCATTAGTAATGGCAAGAAAAAAATAATATCATGTGCATATTATCTAATAACTGCACATACCCGAATGGACTCTGTTTGATTGATAGTAGTTCGACATCCAGCTGTTAAAAACACATAAACATTGAGTAAATAGCAAAAAATCACCACAATTGGCGTTAGGATTTCAAAAAATTACCACTTTTTTTCTTCACTAAAACCTACTGGTATTGGAGCAAAATTTAGCAAAAAACATGTATGCTTGTTTTTTTTAAGTTGACACGATTATAACAGGGATGGCCCGCGTATAAGCACTAATGTGGCATAAAAGTCAACACCGTTTGTTTGACCGTCACATTGGACGTGTTATGACCAGGGGTGGGGGGGCACCTATCAGTTCTATCCCCGTCAATAAAATTCCCCCATGGGAAAAAAAGATCCCCCGCACACGAGGCCTCCCGTCGGAGCTGACCCGTGCCATCAGCCCTACATCCCCGCCGTCAGCCTAGATCCCATCCATCACCAACCCCACATCCCAACAAAGTTACACTGGCAACAAGCTGAAGAAGAATGGAATAACTATTGATGTAAATGGCGGTAAAACTGTGTCTATCATAGCTTGCCACAAAACTAGTCAAGACTTGTTAAACATTTAACGGTTTAAAAGTTATTAAAAAATATGAAATAAATAGGAGAGGCTCACTCTAATTTAATAAAATAATCCAACGGTGTGATTGTGAAAATATGCATTGATGTGTCCTCGGCGAAAAAACAAGCATTTCAACTCACTGCAGGATCAATATATACTGAACATTTGTTATTTTTGTCCAGCACACATCCAGACATATTTTTTCAATCCCACCGTTGGATCATGTTATATTATAGGTGTGTTGGTTTGGTATTTTTTTCAAAATTTTTGAGAACTTTTGAGAACTAGTTCTGTGGTAAGCTATTGTAGAAAATCCTACTCCATGAAGATAAATGACTGTTTACCTCAATAGTTGCATTAGGAGGAATTTCTTGAACGCCCTTTTTTCCATAAGCTAGCTCAGGAGGAACAATAACCAACCTCTGAAATTTTCATTATTGTCATATTGCAGAATGAAAGTGATCTCCACATAAGAAATCATGACAGGAGCCGAATTTGTATGTGTGTTCATGCCTCAAAATACTCACATGTATAAAGTGGTCACTGAAAATAAATAATTCATCGGAACCGAGAAATAATTGTTATGTAATCTTTATACTTATATGAAGCTAAAATGAATATATGCTTTTTGGCATGATGCAGGCAACTTAGCATATTTCATAATCATCAATAAATGAAAAAACCTCTAAAAGTCATCAATACTATCATTTGTAAGGGTTGACTGATGGAAGCTTAATTATCTGTGGCAGAGCATCATGTTCTGTAACTGGTATCAACATACCTTAGCTCTCTACAAAGTCACAGGATTGTTTATTTGAAAATAAAAGGTTGCAGAGCAAAACCAAAATGAAACCATAGAAATTACTCACCTGGCCTCCAACTTTCATTCCCTCAACCCCGAGATCCAATCCTTTTAGAACATTGCCTCTTTCAGAATTGCCAACATCAAACCCATACGGCTACAGATGATTTAAGACAAGTAAACGAAAGTTAAACCAGGAAAACTATATTTGAAGTACAGTCACTTTTCAAATACTGCATCGCACAACTATCATACTTGAATGAAATATGGCTACAGATAATTTACTGAAGAGTATTGCTAATTTATCCTACACAGAAAGAAGCCAAAAATGTAAGGCAATACCGTTCCACCAGTGACACCGAGGCCCTGCCTACTTGTCATGAATGTTATGCCCTTCCACTTGGCCACGTAATGTACCTACACTCAGATAGGCATTGATCATCATACTTGAAAAAAATGAAGCTGAAAACAAATTGCAACTTTTCTAAACATTCATCTAGCTAGTGTATGAATAAGTGAACACATATGGGTTGGAACACTAGTAGGTAATGTAAGGTTTCTTTAGGCCAATGTTGCAATTTTCAGGAGGGGGAATTCACTCTTGTCCAAAATCATCAATAATAATAACAATTCTGGAACTTCATATTAGAATAAAATGCCGAAAAGGACCAAAACAACTCAGGCCTTTTTTGGAACAAGGGGGTTATGTAGGAATTTCATAGGAATGAAATCCTATAGGAGTTTTTCCTATGTCACCCTTCCGATTGAAAGGGTTTGCTTGAAGAATTCCCATAGGAACCCTTCCTTTCCTCCACTTGTTGGAGGATCCTAAACATTTGCTCAAACCTCATGTTTTCAATTCCTTTGATAAGTCCAGTAAAACATGTCTCTTTATCTCTCCTCTTTTCTCTCTTTTCAAGAGATGGTTTCCTGCAAAGCGTCCAAACAACTATGTTGTACTAGTACATTGGCACGTGCAAAGCATGGCCAAAGTTTATTGCACATTGGGTATGGTTTTAGCAGACCCAGAACAGTCTTGCTGACGCGATTGGGTGCACTGCCAGTGTGTGTACTGTGAGAGGAGCGGCGCCAGACCAGCTACACACACTGATGGACGTAGCAGCAAATCAGATGAACTTTTCCTGCAACAAGTGCAGCGCCTTTGTTCTACTGTAGCATGCACGGTAGCTGCGAATCCCAACAATTTGAACCATCCAATGGCCTCTATCAATGGTCCATATTGTTTCTTGGTTTTGTGATTTGAATGTTTAAAACAGATACACTATATAGTAGTAGTATATATGTTGTATGATTCATGTGTTTTAGATTCCTATAAGATTCGACAAGACATGACATCTAATTCCTGCACTTTTCCTATTCCTATGATTTTCCTAGCCTACATTCCAAACAGGGCCTCAAGCAAAAACATAACAAAACAAAACAAAAGGATAGCTGTGTTATGTACATGCTTGAAAAGGAATGTTGTTACAGTTATAAGATGTCACCTTTTTATGCAATGATTTATAGTAATATAAAACCAGAGAGTCAAATTAATTAAACTACATGGTTTCAAGGAGGTAACAAAAAGTTTGCACAATTCAGATTTCCCATTTCATGATACCTCGGCATCATCAGTTCTTCTCATAAGTAGAGATTCATTTATGCAAATGCAAATGCAAATGCAAATGCAAATGATTTAGAAATGCTAGATAAAATGCAAATACTGGTGGTGGTACATACTGCGACACGTGATCCCTTAACTGCTTTGGCCCCACCTCCTACTTTGATGTCATAGTACCTGCTCAACACTTTGTAATTAAGTTACGTCACATTCAGGTGATGACAATTTAATTAGCAAAGCATGCTTCGGCTTATAAGTCCAACAAAAAGAAAACATACACAGCAAATCTTCAACAACTATTTTCACATACTGTGAACAGATTCAATCTTATTTTGTAAGATCGGTTAGCTTAGAATGCACGTATCACTAAGCTTACACGCCTTATCTAGGACAATATGAGGTTAGGAGCTACACGTCCACCAAAACACCATGTAACTGGCTTGATGCACTAACCATTCCACAGTCTGTAGAGCTTATTAATTGCTGGTCCAATTTACACTAATACACCTACACAGCACCAGAGGTAAAGTGCACCTAGGACCATGGTTTTCACTTTCAGAAAAAATTCAGCAACAACCGAGATCACCGAAATTCAGTGATTCCAGTGATTTCGGTTCGCATTTCGGCCAAAGGACCAAAATATTCAGTCGAATCCAGTTAAGTATTTGAAAATTTATTTGGATTCCTGTGTACTACTGAAATTGCTGAAATATTTCTGTCGAAAGGTAAATATTTCAGTGTCTACTGAAAGTCTGAAATTAGTACTATTCAGTGAATTTCATCGAAATCTCACGGAAAGTGAAAAAAACCATGCCTAGGACTAGCAGTAGACTATATCTCGGGGTAAATCAGCAAAGAGTATGCATACTTGATGCCATTAGGCAGAGTAATGAAGTCGCTCTCCGGAATCTTGTTGCTCCTGAACTGCCCAAATCAACCGAGCAAACAGCAAAAAATCTCAGCCCAGTCTCATCGGATGCCAAAGCCTGAACAACTGAAGCAGGACACGGTCGGGCACACGGGTTCTTACAACTCTCCTGCTGGTCGACACGGCGCCAGCCTCCCCTCCTCCGGCGACGCCAATCCCCACGGCTGGGCCATAAAAACCATCAACAACGCACGTGCTGACAGGCAGGTGGTGATAAAACTGGATCAGGAAATGACTGACGGGGAGGCGTCAGGAACCTGCGGTGGCGGCGGCTAGCGAGGCGAACCATCGCCGGGTGGTTGATGGCCCTTCCGGGGAGGCGTCCGCGCGGCAGGCGAAGGCGGCCGGCCGCGGCCGCCGGGCCGTCTTGGACGCGGTGGGGAAGGAGAGCGGGAGGGCGCGGCGCGGGGACAGGGCGGGCAGGAGGGATGAGAGCTCCATTGGTGGTGCGGACGACGATGCGAGGCGGTAGCAGCGGGGGCGCTTGTTTGATTTGGTTTTGGATATTTTTGTGGGGCTGGATCGTGTGGACTTGACGTTCGTGGCCCCTGAAATTTCCAAGCTGCTCAACTGGCGAGGCCACTTCCAAACAAGCCGGGGGAATCTTCGACTTTCAGCCGGGTTCGGCTCCTATCCAGTCGAGTTTTTCTTTGAAGGAACGCCACGCCACTTACTTTATTAATCGATCGTAAAACACTAGCATTGAATTCATGAGCATCTATCCAATTATTCTCTCGGTTTCAAAATAAGTGTCTCAACTTTAATACTTCCTCTGTTCACATTTATAAAACGTTCTAGACGGTTCAGACAGCTTCCAAAACAGTTCAAAATCAGCTGTCTAAAACGACTTATAAAAAGGAGCGGAGGGAGTATAACTTTATATTAAAATTAGTGTAAGATTGAGACGCTTATTATGGGACGGTGGGAGTACAAGATAAATAAATGGGTTTCGTAACAATTTTGCTTAGTTAGTGGACAGTGCCATTGGCCTCCCGCCTGTGGTGTTTGAACCGGATGTTTCCAATCATCGTAGCGTGATCAACACAATCTGCAAGTATAGTAACCTCTTTTATCCACCAGGCAGGCAGTCGTGCCACCACAAGCTTCATCAACTTTAATACAACCTAATTCAGCAATAATATGATTAATTCCCATCGATGCCATCAAAGTTAATCCTTTCTTCATAGCTAGAGCTTCCATCATCGATGCTTCGGCTGCATAGGAAATCAAATGATCCCGTGGCAGCAACAAAATTATCATATCCATCATAGATTACTGCACCAGTCGAGAGAGACCTTAAGCATTGACGTTCAATTTAAAGAGGCCATTGATGGCGTGCTCCATTTCACACTTTCCCTCGGGGCAACTCTCGGTACATTCTTAGGGAAATTGTTACACATGGATAAAATAGATAATTTCTAGTTACCAATTGGTGAGGTGTTCTCTCTGTGAGTAACCGATCTTCTGATGCGTCAGAGGTATCAGACCGAAACTGATATAATTTCAGACAAACCCAAAAGTGGCATGCCAAGGAAATGCCCCTTCAGCGAATCAATTAGCTCTTCCAACACAGTTGATCCCAACATTCCACAAATGAAGCATTAACAATGGCAGTTTCTAGATCAAGAATTTTTCATAATTCCTTAGTTGAGTAGCACTCGCCGAAAAGATGCATAAAATCTTCAGCGAACAGATGGCAAATAGGAATTGTCCATCATTACCAATATGCTGGTTAAAGAGTTTGACTTCATTGGGGATAGCACCATGCATGGCCTTCCATATAATTTTTTTCACTTTTCCAGGGACTACAAACTTTCATATCTTATGCTAAATAGGATTAGTACCACTAGAGGACAAAGAAATATTATGTGACATATTACCAAATTGGTGTCTTCCACTCAATGTGATACGTAGAGTTTACTGAGAACGTTCCAAACCGGTTATTATGTCATGCCACGTAATCATCAAAACCATTTGGACTAAGAGGAATCCCCAAAATTCTGGAAGCATCAACACATGAAAATATTGAATAGATCAAGTTATCCTCCCATTCGCCTGAAACAGGTGAAAATATTGAATAGATCAGGTTCTCCTCCCATTCGCCTGAGAGGAATCCTCAACAATTAAGTCTCACACCTTGCTAGAATACCTCCCCTCAGTATCAGAATTTTTCTATTTGGACTAGAGGGAATCCATGGATCCCTCCAAATATCAATAGATTCTCCATTCCCAACTCTTTAGATACATTCCATTTTAAAAGTCTGGATACCATCAAATATACTTTGCAATGTGTATGATGGACCTTTTTTCAGACCCGCTTCAAGAATGCTTTGGTTTGGATAATATTTGGCCTTCAAAATCCTTGTGCATAGTGAATCGTTATTACATAAAAGTCGCCAAAACTGTTTAGCAAACATAGAAGATTAAAATAATGAAAACCCCTATATCAAGTCCTTCATGTTTCTTAGGAAACAAAGTTTCCACCATACAAACCAATGCATTTCCTTTGCAGTCAACTTGTTAATGTACACGTACAATAGCCGTCAAAATATGATGTCTAGTTGCAATCCACCCCAACTCCCAACCCTAGCCACCTCCGCAAGTGTTCCTACATGTCACTGCCTCATTCCCCCCTCCTTTCCCCTATCCGGCGGCCTCATCGATGACAAGAGGAGTGGGGACTAGTCCGTCTTATTTTCTATTTCTTAGGTTTTTGTTTCTCTGGCGACGTCGATAATGTGGTGGCAGCGATGGCATGTTAAAAGAAGGTATCTTCCATCTCTGCCTACCTCGATGTCCGATCCGGCATCAACAAAGGCATGTGTGAGTTTGTGTGCCTAGATCTGTTGGCTCCTTTCAGATATTTGCGGTTGATGTGTCTTTCAAGGAGAGATATTGGCTGGCTATTGACCGTTTTGTATGGAGTTGTCTGTCCATTATACTCCCCGGTTGGTATAAGAACCGGGACTAAAGAAATTTTACGATTTTTTTTTTCTATTTTTAAATTTCTAAATTATTTTACAATTTAAACTCTAATCATCCCTCATCACTGCTCAATTTAACCTCTAATCTCTAATCACCCCTCATCACTGCTTAATTTAATCTCTAATCACCCCTCATCATTCCAAATCATCTAACTTCCCGACCGGTCACCCATCCTCTCACTACTCCAGCCTAAGCACGCTTAACTTCCGGGTTCTATTCCCCCTCGTTTCCAAGTCTGCACTTGTTGTTTTCTTGGTAATAGTAAGATGTCAATCCTATTAAACCTCAGGAGTTTAGCTTGAGCATGAAGTCACACGTTTCACTGTTTGAGTTTGAAACTATTATTCTAAAAAACAATAATTATTTATTACACTAATATTTCTTGAATAAGTAGTTTGACCAGATTTGACCAAAATTCAAAAAATTGAAATAATTATTTAGTAACACTAATATTCTTGAAAAATTATGTAGTAACACTAATACTTCTTGAATAAGTAGTTTGACCATAGTTTGACTAGATTTAACCAAAATTAAAAAAAACTGAAATTTGAGCATATCTTTTTTTCCTTTTAGAATTTGAGGATTCTAAAAATTTGCAAACAGGCCGTAGGCTGTCAAAATCGGATGCGGATTTTCGTACATGTCTAAATTTAAGTTTTTAAATTTTCCTAACTAGTAGATGTAGTAATATAACTATATCTCGAAGGATTTTATTTTTTAAAGTTTTTATCAATTTCTTTTATTTTTTAAAAACTGAAATGGCGATATGCGCGCGGGGAAGGGGGGGGTAGAGTTTGAGAAGTGAGCCCTTTATTCCAAGTTTGAGACACGAACCAGGACAAAAGGGCATCGCACCTTTAGTCCCTGTTCATATCTCGAACCGGGACTAAAGGTCTAATCTTTAGTTCCGGTTTGAGACACGAATCGGGACTAGATGTGACCAAAGCCCTGTTTTCTACTAGTGTTCATCTTTGCAGTAATGGAGGAACTCAGTGACGACAAAGCCCGTGCTATGGTCGTCTTCTTATCCAGGGTGACCTTTTAAGCCAGCAAAGTCTGTAGCCTAGTGCGTACTCAACCATGAAACCTCCCGCTCAGCGGCTCCGCCTCTGTCCTGTGTCTGAAGCTCTGTTCTGCAGGCAAGTAGTAGCATATTCACAGCTTGATCACAACAATATGTGTATTACTATTACACAACAGAACACTCACAATTATGTTCGTTTTACAAAAATAAATAAATAAACCATGGCCTATGTAATTTTTCAACATTCAAACAATAGATTCAAGTTACGAGATCCAATCAACGCAACATTTAACATTACCAGCATATATAATTGCCAGAACTTTGTTCATACGATTTTATAGCGTAGCGACGGCTGCTGAGCTTGTTAACATTTAGCTTGACCGTGGAGGGAACTTTCCCCACAATGTATCTTTCAATAGCCCTGAGCCCTCTATAGCCTTCGTCGAGCATACGCCAGTCTAACCCTGTGTAGCATCCAGCAATTCTGTCGTCAAAAGTCCTATCAAGGTCTTCAGAGCCATTATCACATATGGTGTCCAACGTAAGGCGCTCGAGTGACGTTGCATTCTCAAGAATATGACAGGTTAGCTCGACCATGCTCTTTGCAGCGCAGAAGAGCTTGATCGTCACATTCTTGATGTTGCCATGCCGGTGTCCTCGCATCTGCCTCAGACGCGTGTATCCGGAAATCAATTCATGCCTTACGCTAGTCTGTAATACCTGTGTGCATAGGAAGAACATGCATGTTACAGTTAGTAGTTCCTCTACATGCAGATGCTGATATCATTGCAAGCTTGAGGAGAAGTGACTTACAGCCAAGACAAAATTCTCCAAGACGGGACTGTTGAATAAATAGGCAATTTCTCGATTAAATTAATCCATGAGTAAATCACTAGCATGGCATTGACTAAGTTGATGACGTACTGACTCTGATCTAAACATGCACGTACTAAGCAAACCGTAGACAAATCTACACATACTGCTAGTACTGCTAATATGAAAATAATCAGGAGCGGGATAAACGAGTTATACCCTCCAGTAGGCCACGCAGAGGCCGTGGCTTTGGTGGCAGCAGCGGCGTCCTCGGCGACCTTCTTGTCGGCTTCAGCTTTCTCGGCGGCGGCACGGTCGGCGTCGGTGGACATGGTGATGACGAAGGCGACGCGGACGTAGAGGAAGTAGACGATCGGAAGCGAGCAGTCGCGTAATCGCTGCCCAAAAACCTATTCGCCCCTCACCCCGTACAGGAACCAGAAGGGCGTGGTTTCGGAGACCTGCTCTCCCGTCGACCGTGTACATGGCGGACGGGATGGAGTCACCGGCGGCAGCAGCAGCAAAGGAACGACGATGGGCGTGCGCGTGAGCAGATGTGATCTGTTCGTGGCGGCTAGGGTTAGGAGACACCGCATACTTATAGGCGCAGCCGCGTGGA